CCCTCAGGGGTTTTTTAGTAAATTTACCCTTAAAAAATTATAAATTTTTCAGAGAGTAAAATTAATAAATTTATTGCTCCAAAATATAAAACATTAAAAAGAAATTAATAATAATAAATAAATAAAGTACTTTAATTCATTCTATATGGGGTGAAAATCGAACGGAATACATGGAAATAGAAAAAAATTCAATTTTTTTCTAAAGTAAAAAATGAGTTTCAATTTCCCTTCCAAAAAATTCTAAATGCAAAAATTCATTAGATTACGGAATGCCTCGGAACCATCGACGGGATTTTGAAAATTTCGGAAATAATATTAGTTTATAATCTCTTGCTCAAATTCGGATACAATCGAAATTGCACAATATTTTTCTTTCTTTTTACTTTTTTTTTACGAAAATACAAGAAAATTCAAATTAGGGTTCGACAAAAGGCAATAAAAAAGTCAGAGATAAGTACATCTAATAAGAAAAAATGCAACATAAAGTTTCTCATGTCAATTAATATTTTCCAAGGTTTTTTTGTCTTGACCCTTCTAACCAACCCTCATTAGGAGAGTTGGTACCTAATATTTACCAATAGAGTAATGGTCTAGGGTTCAAGTCCCCTCTCCACTACTTCCTCTTGTAATCGACTTGAATTTACTAAAAAAAAAATGTCTTGACCCTTCTATATTTATATTTTTCATATAAAATATAAACCAAGTAATATTATGAAATTACATAATATATCATAAAATTATATTATATATTTCGAAAATACATAGAAATATTTGAAACTAAAATGGGATCAAAAATCATTTTCTATAATTTTATATATCATTCAATTTCCACTCCAAATTAATTCGGAAGAAACAAAAACCGAAACTTCAAAAATCGAAAGGAAAAATAGGATTTCAAATTCAGATATTTTCGAATCGAAATTGGTGGAATTCGAAAATTTCATTCCGATTTCCGCCATTTCGATTGGTCAATTGACAATTCTTATTTTATTGCAGAAATGCAATTTCCAAACTTCAATTACCCGCCACGCGGTTTTCATTTACTTTCTAGTATTTCAGTCGTTAATTCTTTTTTTATTTTTCAAATATTCAACTCTCTCTCTCTCTCCTCTTTCTCTCTCTAACAATGGCGGAAGGAGGATTGACGATCTTGGACGGCGCGCTGCTGAGAGAGGCTGACCTGTCTCTGCCTTCTCAGCCACCGGCTACTGTGATCACCGCCGCCGAAGTCCTGAAGCTTGCTGAAACCAGAGCATCCCTCTCCCTGTACGGCGTCGTACTGCCGGAAGCTCTCAAGTCCTCTGCTCTCCGGCGTCTCGGATTTCCCGATGCCGCCGCATTCCGTGCTAAGGAGCTCGATTTCTCCGATGCCCCGTCGATTTTTCTAAAGTACATCTCCGCCCTCGCCGATGAACTCAAAGGTGAATTTCTCTCTCTCTGAAGACTTCAACCCTTGAATTGTTAGATTCAGGGATGCAAGTACTTCAAAATTATACAATGAATTTTGGAATTTGTTGTTATAAACAAAAATTGAAGCAGATTTGATATGATTTCATTGCTCGATTTGTTGATTTCATATATATTTTTTATATAATACATGTTAGCATCTTTAATGGAATATTCCGCTGGAAAATGGGATCAACGAGTGATTGAGTATGTTTAACAACTGTTTAAGAAAATCCGGTAGTTTGACCGTTTTTGAATAAGTTATCTTAAGTTTGATCTGGTTTGGCCTTTTTGCCCAAATCGAATATGTTTTGATCATATAATTAAGAAAAGCCGTTAATTTTTGTGTCGAGTTCAGATGATCCTGTTGTTGTGGCAATACTGAATGGAAGCACTATTCAAATATTTTTGGAAGATGAAGATGATTTCGCAATGATGGCTGAGAATCTTTTCACTGAGTTAGACACTGAAGATAGAGGAAAGATTTGTCGGGATGAGATAAAGAGCGCTCTCGTTCATATGGGTGTTGAATCGGGTGTTCCTCCTATGTCCGGTATCCTCTCTCTCTCTCTCTCTCTCTCTCTCTCTCTCTCTCTCTCTCTCTCTCTCTCTCTCTCTCTCTCTGATTACGAGGACCATTTCTATATTGAACAGAATTCGCTGAATTAAGCGACATCTTAAAAAAGCATGGAGCAGAGGGAAAAGAAGAACTGGGACAAGCACAATTCGCCGAGTTACTGCAATCTGTGCTACAAGAACTTGCCGATACTCTTGCGAAGAATCCCGTTGTTATTGTACAGCCCATCAAAGTAGTGAATGGTTCTAAGCTCAGACAGGTAGCTTAAAATTATTAAATAATATTTATAAATAAATCGCATGAAAATACGTGCAAATGCACGTCTCACTTACTTAGTCTTCCAAAAACCTGGATCGCTTAACTAAAGACAATCGATTTCTGGTGGTTGAATATAATTTTTGACAAATAATGCAGCTAATGGTGAACGAGAAGCTACTAGAAGATGTTGTAAAGAAGATAAATTCCGAAAGCAAGATCGAAGAATCGAGCACCACAAAAATCAGAAATTTCCTTGAGAAGCACGGTTTTGAAATTGGTTTACCACCTTCAGAACTCGACGAAGTCGCGATTCTGCTTGATGCAGTATTTACTGAGGTAGATAGCCAAAACGATGCTGCTGAGCTAGAAAAGGATGGATTTGTGGTTCTGTTGAAGAAGATTCTTGAGAAACTTGCTGAGAAGCTGGAAACAAATCCGATCTTTTACGATCTTCAGTTTTTGGAGTCGAAAGATGTTTGAATTATATACTGGTATGTATTGCTCCTGGTTTACAGAGACGAGCTCATTCATTTTTGCTTTGTTTTTTTTCTAATATAACTAAAACATTATGAAATATGATTTGTCCTCTAGGACTTGTAATTTATCAATTTTATACTTGGATACCTACTTATCAGTAATTATAATGTTTCGTTTTCAAAGTCGTGATTACACGATTTCGAATGTGTTTCTTTCGATAAACTGCGCAAGTAGATTCGACATGAAAACGAACTGTTTCAAAGAATAAAAAAAAGCAGCACCATGAACAAAATGATTCACAGGCTACAATCATTCAATTTCAAGAATGAGCAAAAACCCTAAACTTTAAATATTTAATCACTTGTCCTCAGCAACTTTCACAAATTAAAAAAATCGAATGGAAGAATGAATCTTTTCCATAAAAAGAAAAAAAAAAAAGACGAACTAAAGCTCTCCAACTCCGGAGGAACCTGCTTCTTCACGGATTCGCTTCTGTAAATGTTCCAGGCTAGCCACTCTCTGCATAGAAACACTTCTTCCCATCTTATTTTTCGCTGGAGGAATATCTATTACACCGTTTTGAACTGTCTCGTTCGTTAAGACATTATTATTATTATTACTATTACAAGGGGGTTGATAATAATAATGCTTCTTTGGATCATCTTGTACCGGTACAGCAGCATCTGCTGATGTATCCGAAGGACTGTTAGCAAAAGACGGCACACCCATTGTCGATATTTCAGACATAGCTTGGAGTATTGGGTTCAGCCCCGTCACTCTTTTCACCGTTTCTTCAGCCATTTTCACCTGTTGGATAAAAAAAAAATGAAAAAAAATTCACTTATCTACAGAATGACATGTGTCACTTAGGATTATTTATCTTACCTTTGCTCTTAAGGTCTCGACATCAGCTTTCAGAACTCTGTTGTCAACAGCTGCTTCGTTGTACTTCTGGCTTATGTTGTTTAGGCGTTTGAGTAGAGAAGAGTTTTCGACTTTTAATTGAGAGACCTAAGAAAGGAGCATGGCTAATGTTTAATTGGACAATTACTGGAAGACTATGTTCGATGAAGATATGATGAGATATGAGCTTATATACATACCTGTGTCTCGAGCTCGGTCAAATGGGCCTGTTTTCTTCTTCTTGATCGTCGAGCTGATTCTCTATTCGAAAGCATTCTGAAAAGAAAGTAGTTATGTTCGTTAGATAAAAAGGAAGAAGAAAAAACACTAACATGAAACAGTCACAATTTCTGAAATACTGATAGGACAAATACTCAATAGAATATTCATAATTTAAACTTGTCCACATGGGATCTTTCTTCTCGTAAAATCCGTTGGATATTCTCTTCCAGAATTTTGTTTATGTTCAAGTAAATCAGGAGTGGTGACTAAAATTCGAGCACCGTGTGATAAAATAAGATGCTATATTTAGCTAGACTACTAAGTTAAATTCAAACCATAACCTAGAATATCGACTTACGGGACTGCAAAGAGAAATATAACAGTTTCAAGATCAACTAAGTGGTTTCAAATTTGGTCTCGATAAATCTTCTAGAAAATGAAAATTATTCCACAACTAACGAAAGGGAATGATTAGCTCAAGCAAAAAAGGTTAATGAAAAGCTTAATAATTATCTGTGCAACTAATAAACAAGCCAGTACCAGAGAACTCTCTTCATAACTCTGGTTTATCGCCCATCTCTTGATAAAAGCTTAATAATTCGACTTTCATTTAGAAAGATAAGTTGCAATTCAGTAAACAGAAACCCTAGATATATATATATATATATATATATATATATATATATATATATATATATATATATATATGCGTATCAACAAACAAGAATGTCGTAACATTTTCAGCAAAAACATGGAAAATGAAAGATCAGTTTACCGATACCTTCTCGTTCGCTTTGCATCAGTAGGGTCCTTATTCTGATTAGTATCGGTTTCTCCATCAGCTTCGTCATCATCCGACTGATCCCTCGAGGACCCACTTGTGGTTGACCTAACCTGGACCGCGGATTTCCTCGAGATTGCAGGAACGGGAGGTACACCAACTGCTCCACCCGAATCCTTTTCTTGTGTCTTGAGGAGCGAAACCCCATTCGCTAAAAAGTCGAAAAAGTAAATTCCAAATGAAACGATGTTTCGTTTTTCATACAAGTTAGTTAAACCTTCAAATCTACAAACTTTTAAGACATTCCCGTTTATTCCAAGTTGCCCTTGTTTGCAGTGTGCTGGATTTAAGGGTCGGGATTTAACGGTTATTTATACTTTTGAATAATTTGTGGACAACTAATGGCAAATATACATCAAACAATTTTTTTCATCAGGCGAATTTTCGGCAGGGTTAAGAACAAAATCCAAAATTCCGAAAAGAAATGATATAATTCCGAATAACCTTTATACTGCGACGAATTCGATGCCTGAGAGCCGACATCCGACACTGCGGCTGCAGATTCTTGAGCTTTGCCATTAGTTGCCTATACATTAATGCAAGTAAAAAATAAATATATAGATACAGAAAACTCTAATGCAGTAAATATCATAAATTACAGAGAAGATGGAGATTAAACATCTAAAAAAACCACAAGGTACACATTATAAAGCATAAGGTACAAATTCTACTATTTTCCCTATTTCCTTAAAAATTAAAATCAGATTAAAAAAAAAAAAGAAATTGTACCCTGGACAAAGCGACGGCGGCGCAGGCCAACTCGAGGCGGCTTTTAAGGAAGGCCTGATACTCCTCGGAATCTACGGGAATATTCGGGGGTGGGCCCACCGCCACCGCCGCCGCCGCAATCTGCCGCGGCGGATTATCGTTGTTAAAATTGGAGTTGGCTTCGATCTGAACGACGTCGTCGCGTTGTACGGTGGTGGCGGTGATGTGATCGGAGGAGGAGGAGGCGGCGGCGGCCTCCTGCAGGAAGCGCTGGAATGCCCACTCCGATGAGCTGCGGTTCATACCCATCGTTTTCGACGAGGAGTGTTGGTCCACGTCAGCATCGTCGTGGAGGAGAAACGACGGCGGCGGCGGCGCGTGGGATGACCAGAATTGGCCGGATATCTCGTCCACTGAAAACACTCTATCCATATTTTCTCTCTCTACCCCCTCTTTATTTTTTCTCGTTTTATTATTCGTTATATAATGAACGAATGAGAGAGAAGGGGGAAAAAGAAAAAATTAAAAAAAAGAAAAAAAGAAAAAAATTAAAAAAAGAAAAAAAGAAAAAAAGAGTTTCTATTTTTGTCCTTTGTCCACTTGCTTTTTGGACTAATCTTCAATCGTACGGATAAAATAAAATATTGATTTTTTAATGTGAACTATTTTGCTTCAAAGTTCAAACAATTTTTCCAATTTGATTTTTTTTATAAATCATATTAGCTACTTTATATATCCTTTAAAAAAGAAAAAGGGTAATTTATCTAAATAATTTTCAATTACCTTTTTGTGCAATAAATATTGTTATTTATTCTCAATCCAACAATATCAAAATTGTGTAGAATCTGGATTTAATTAATCATAAAAATTAGTGGTGAAGACAGAATTTTATGTTCGAGAGGACTGAATGCATTATAAAATTAAGAGAGGCCGTTAATACTACTATACATAAAAATATTATATATTTTTATTATAAAATAATAAGGATTCGAGAAATTTTGTTGGTCACCATAATATTAACTATATAAAAAGTGTGTCAAAAAAAAAAACACTATATAAAAAGAAAAAGATAATTTGTTTTTTGACCAATTAAAAAGGAGATTTTATCTTGATCTTTTTGGTACATAAAATGTGACATTTGTGGGCTAAAGTGTATTTCTACTTTTGGGGACAATGATTATACTTAGACCTCCCATGATCACCAAATTCAAATAAAAGATATGTATATATTTGTATTTATTCCACAATTGTATGATTTTTTTTAGGGTAGATTGCGGCCACCTTGAGGTAATACTAAATTACGAAACAAAAATTATCATATTTGGTTAATTACAATGAATTTATCAATTATGTATTGTCTTACGAAAAAAAACTTTTCATTCAGTAGGTAAAATTGAAATCGTAAAAGTATAAGTGTGAGACAAAAAATGGAGTATTAATTTATCGATGTTATCATTCGCAACTTAATGGCTCCATCATCATAGCCATTCAAACAAACACATTTGCATGGACTCGCTTGTTGCTGAAGTAATCGCGATTAAAGAGGCATGCCAATTCATCCATCATGCAAAAACCAAAGAGGCCATCATCATCGAATCGGACTGCCTCAATGATATATTCTTCATCACTTCCGACATTTGCTCAATCGATTGGAAGGTTAAAGTGATAATCGACGACATCAAAAAATACTGGGCACTTTGGCCTAAATGGAGATCCAAGTACATTTCTCGAAATGCAAGCTTCGCCGCTCACAATCTTGATTCATGGGCCCTTAATTCTATTTTTTCTGGTTTTATTCACTTTGTAATGTTCATTTCTTATGTTTTTTTGTGACGGTGGCTATCCGCTTATTGACTCTTGTTTTCTCTCATTTATTTAATAAATACATAGTTTTTCTAAGAAAAGAAAAGGATAAAGCGATCGCCCCTTAATATAAGGTCAAATTATGATAAATCCCCTACTGTTTGGATGATTACAACCAACTTTTTAATTATGAATCTTCTTACACGTCCACTCTTACGGTCAAATTTAGTGGAATCTTCTATATTATATGAAATATTCTCAAGTTTGTACCCATTTTATCCCATTCAAGCTCCACATTTTGAAGCAAGATGATCATAAGATGTGTTTTTGGTTTGTATATATATGAGATTGTGGTGCATCAGAAACTAATTTTTTACACAAAACGAGTACAAATTAGAGAACATTTCACGTAATCTAAAAGATTGTATTGAATTTGACACCAAAATTAAGGTTGAACGTGTAAGAAAACTCATAGTTGATGAGATAATTGTAATTACCTAAACTAAGATTTTTTTCATAATTTAACCTTGCATCATCAGGATGGTTGTAAAAGAAAAATAAAATTGGTATGATGATAAGTTATATTTTAAGCAAGTGGGCAGAAGGACTTTCAAGAACAACAATTAATAACAATACTAAAAAAACTAGCAAAGATAGATATTTTTGCCAACTTGTATGTAATTCCACCAATTATTTCTTCTCAATTTGCATGTTATCATCAACATTAGGTAAAGATTTTGCCTATGCTATTTTAATTAATTTGACTTATCTATTGATTTCCTTCTATATATTTAAAATGTCAAGTAATTCTCATATTAATCGTATGTTAATATGTATTTCCTCTTATATTGCCAGGGGATACAATTTTGATTGTAATGTAATTTTTCAAGGCTATTAAATTTCAATTATTCATTAAAATTAAGGATATAGTAATTTCACAAATTTTATTGAAATATTTATTGTTTGGTGATAATCAGTTAGTAAATTATCTTTATATGTAAAAGTAAGAAATGCTAGAATAGCTAAGAAAATTATAATGGCATATTTGTAAAAAAATTAAAATTAATTACATCTCTTATTTTTCAGTCTTCTTATCTCTAATGACTTTCATTGCAAATCATATTTGCAAATCGGCTTGCAAAATCCTAATAATTTAATAGTTGTGGTGCCATTTGTATGATCAAATTTGTACGAATATTAACATTATTTTGGTAATTTAAATTTCACAACTAGTTTTTTTAAGATAGTGCATTTATTTCTTTAATACAATTTATATATATATATATATATATATATATATATATATATATATATATATATATATATATAAATTTTCGTCTTTTTTGCAATGCTCGCCGTGCATTACACGGGAAGAATTGCTAGTTATATTTAATTCAAATGAGTCTTGCGAGGTTTCTTTGGATTTTGTAGATGCTATACCTGATAAAAAACACCGATTGACGCTGCCAGGGGCGGACTTAGGGGATTTTTCTTTGGGGCTGAAATATCGGGGTAATTTAAAAGAAGATTTTTTTTATGGACTAAAGTGTACAAAATGAAAAGGTGGGGGGGGGGGGGGAAGCGAAAGTGCATTAACTAAAACATAAATAACAAAAAAAATTGATTAAAAAAAATTCTTGGGGGTGCGGGAGCCACCCCAACCATATGCATGGTTCCGCCCCTGGACATTGCATTATAGATTTACATATAATAACACACATCCATATATATGTGTGTTTAATAAATGATTATTTGTATAGATCTATATTTCGAAATCACTCAATATTTTTCACCGGGTGCACCATCTGATATACCGTTTCCTGGTTCCTTCGATCCTACACCCGGTGAAAAACACTAGGTGGGTCTTCTGCTGCCACGTGTTCTTTTTTTTTTTTTTTTTCTAAAACCCCTAAAGGTAAACCCCTAGCGAGGAATCTATTATAAAATACAAAAAAGAGACACGTGGCAACAGAAGATCCACCCACCCGATGTTTTTCACCGAATGTAGGGTCGAACAAATCCCGATTCCTTGTGGCTATCGTTGAATTGCAGAGGATGAATTTCGCGTGTAATGCGGCGGGTTGTTGTGGATAAATGTTGAATTCAGCCACAAATTATTATTCGCTCAGTTATATAGTAGGGCCTATTTATTTTCCAGTTTTTATAAGCTATATGTTATTTGTTGCCAAAAATAAAAAGGAAAATTAAAAAAAGAAAAAGGAAAAAGAAAAAGAAAACGATTGGAACCAGAAAAGGGAACGCAATTGACAAATATTTATTTCCAAAAATGAAAAGGGAAAAAAGAAAAAAGTTTATGAAAGTTGCCCCAAATTTCTAATAATTTGTGATTGTCAATTTCTGAAAAGCAATCTCATATTGAAACATTAGAGTAAATTACACTTAGCTCCCCTTGGATATGGTCAAATTATACATAGACCCCCTCAATATTTAGAAAATTAGATATAGCTCCCATGAGGTTTGGTTTTTGTCTACAAAACCAAACCAAATGTAGCAATTGGCAACTTTGTCCTCATCATAACATTTTTTTATTTAAAAAGAGTATAAGACTATGGTTTGAGTTAGAGCTTATTTTCAGTTTCAATTTTCATTGGTTAGAAGTTGTATTAAAACCATTACTTTTGATTTAAATATTTGAATATCTCCTCCCGAGATCTGTTTAAGGCTCCGTTTGATAGAATTAAGCATTGAATGCTGAATGCTAAATATATATCTGAATTATTAAGAAACATATCTAAATACTGAATGCTGAAAGAATAAGTTCGTTTGGTAATTCAAAAGTCTATTATAACTGAATGATGTACTTTTACAATATTAACCTTAGAAATTGTTGCAACAAATTAAAAAATTCAATTACTAATTGAATTATAAATTAATATATTTAAATTTCAACGATTGTAACTATTTTATTTTTTTATGAAAATAAATATACCTAAAATGAATACAATCTATATAAACTTTTAACATCCAGAAATAAATATTAAATTGTTTAATAAAATCCTAAATTTACCCCTAAATTTCTAACAAATAAAAAAGAACGTATTGAATTTCTATTTCAAAAATATGACGTTAGTTTTTCTTGAAGATATAAAAATATGACGTCATTTTTTCCCCCAAAAATCATTATTGTATCCATGAAGTAAAATATACGAAAAAAATTCCCCACTTATCACTATTTGTTTTAAATAGAACATCAAAATTCATAAAAATTGACAAATTTGATGATTTTCCCCAAAATCATTCTTGCCTTGAATGGAGCCGTTGGTAGTGGAGTTTAACTGGCAGAATGATAATTGGATTTTGAGTTTTCATATTTGATGAAAAATAAGAGCAGAATATTTTCTCTTAAAGCTCTCGATGAAAGGCACACAAAATCACGTTATGATGTCTTCTCTTTTATACGTGATTTTGTCTTCACGTACAAGAAAATAATTCATTAGGTGAAAGAAATGTACATGCAAGTATATGGGATATGGTCCGTATTTTTATCCTTATCAAACTACTACTCCCATATAAACTATATTACCAATTAATGACAATTTAATATAATCAAAGATGATAAAGATAATACTTAAGAAAGTCAAAGGAGAAAATCAAGGCTATCAAATAAATGATAAAATCATGGGAATTCAAATACAAAGAATCCTTGTGAAATTATTCTAAAT